CACAGCAATTAAGAAGGGGATCTGAAATAACCTTGATGTTCTCTTTCTTTCACCTTGAACTCCTCTGTCACACCTACAGCACTGTCTTAAGGTGCATTCACCTCAAATGTGAACAAGACAAATGGCAAGACTGATTAAGATGTTATCTCTATGTAAATGCATGGTCACAAACAGATTTATGATTGGGGATGTGAAGAATGAGTTTGAAGGATGAGATTTGGGTTCACAGAGCAAAGAGACAGCGGATAGAGCTGTTTATGCACAGAGTGAAGCAAAACTGCAAAATGAGAAGGTAGACGTGCAAATATATTGTAGCAAAATTTCCTGGAGTTCAGATATCAGAATTTTTATATAAGTTTGCATTACATGAACCAATTAGGAACTGGGTCTGGTTTTGATGTAGGGTAAAGGAGCTCTGAGAAGACAAGGCTTGGTTCAAAAACTCATCGAAGGGTGACACAACATAAAGTGGTTGGTCTTAATATTGGGTCAAGCACAGATGTAAGTACCACTGGAAGAGCCAGTCATCCAGCCACAGCTCAGGGAGCAGTTGGTGGCATTGTTAAACTTGGAGCAGATTTGGTGGACCCAGGGACACTCGTGGTGCTGTTCAACTTTTCACATCACATACAGGACTGTGTCTTACTCTGTAAAATTGAATCCCGCCAGGGTGAGTTGAACAGACAAGTGGTGAAGGCAGCTAGGCAAAATTCCACTGCTTCACTGTTTGCTGTGAACACAATTCTATAGCTCCCATTCTTGTCCTGCATAGAACATCCACAGGTATATCATCAGGACCACCTGCCTTTCCACTCTTAATCTTTCTTGTTGTCACCCTAACCTAATCGACACAAGTCTGCTACTTATTCATAATGGTCAAATCTTCTGTTCCTTGTTCTAAATTCTTACTCATTTATCAGCTCTTCAAATTTTATCTATCCTTCACTCTTGTTGAATCTGTGAGTACATTACTATCTCTATCCCGATTCACCCTTACCTGCAAAATATCCTTGTCATTTCTCATACATCCATGTCAACCTCTTCACTGTTCAACCTACAGTATCATACAAGTCATTGTATGCTCTTTATTTGGCCTTAGTATCCTGCATTGCTCTGAATTTCCAGAGCCTCCCTTTAGTCCTCACAATGTCTTGCTTCTTAGCTAATCTCTTTGGATAAACACACTTCTGAATTTCATCATTCTACCATAAAGTTGCCTTATTAATTATCCTTAAAGAGGAAAAAACAAGTACTCCCCTACTTGTCGCCCTGATTGCATAATCTGTAGTTATCTAGTCATCTGAAAGAACCTCCTGGCCTACTCTGAAAGCCACACTTCTCCTCTGTTCTGCCTTTGTATCCTTCATCTTGCTCCCCATCAAAGTCATTCTACACAACCATATTGTACTCTTTCCCCAACCACTACCTTGCATTTACAGAGTTCCTTCAAGTTACTTCAGATGTATTCAACCTGTGTGCGACTACCTCTTGTAAGTCACACTGTGAAAGATGCACTTTGCCATAAGGCTAAAATGTGTCCTTATTGGTTCGAGGACCACAGTGGGTTTGAGGTATTGACTTAATATGTTTCAAATGTCATTTTTACTGAGCATCTGTGGGGTGTTCCAAGTAATTAAGTCTATAACACAGTTTCTTGCCTCACAAGCTACAGGATTAAACCAATCTTCTGCTAACTTATTGGTACCAGATACTATAGCATAACTTCAGGGATCCAGTAAAGTCTATGATTTAATTACCTATGGTTGTTTTGGAAGCAAAAGAATAACCCCTAATGTAATGTTTGATTGGATTATCATTGAGTACAGTCTGTATACAACACAGGTTTAGTGTTTGCTATGTTTGGTTGTTCGTTTAAACCTCTCTCTCCTTCTTAATTTTTAAAGGATTGGGAAGTCCAAATAGTTCTTTTACTGTGGTGGGAACTCAAAGAACAATGCTGGTGCCTTTAAATAAGATTTGTGAGTTTGTGACTTGTCAATGAAGCAGTTAGAGCTGTTATTCATATATATCATAATAACTGCATATCTGATACATAATATTTTATGTCTAGCAATACTGTTGCTTATAGTCACTAAGCATAAAAAATAATTCTAATTTCTATTTCAGACATGCCAATATATTTTGTCACTATCATTTACAATGTTTAGAGTGACCCGAACAAACTGGTCTCATCATAATTTCATTGATACACAAGTTATTAAAAGTAAATACTTTCCTTTGTGGCAATGAAATGATATAAATATTGTAATCTAGAACATTATAAACTCATGAATTGTAAAACATTGGTCTTCTCAAATTTAAACCCAATAACTCTTATTTTAAGGTTGAATATCTTCTCCTGAGAGGAGATGAGAGAGCAAATACCACCAGGTGAGGAGTTTACCTCTGCACCAATATCAGCTTGGCTGGGTGGCATTTATCAAGCTTCAGGGGGGCTTAAGGACACCCCAGAATGTTTGTGAAAAGACTGGTGGATAAATATAGGAGAGAGCTAATCAAGCCATCTATCAACAAAAGGATGCACCATCTGTCTGCTTCATCACTTGTACTGCTGATCAGATATATTTATTTATTTTTGGATGCAGGTTCCAATCTGTTGAGCTACAAAATAACTGCTGAAGCAATTAAAATATGGGAAGTTATTTTGATATAATCCTATAAGAAAAAAAAACAAAGGTTTTTAAAGAAAGTGCTATTTTCTATATGTAAATATAAATATTATTACTGATGTTGTGCTCTATTCAATTCTATATTTCTAAGTTAAATCTTTTAATACACCTTCAAACTAGAATGTAAACATAAAAGTAATTGTCTGTGTCTTTGTTAGAGTAAAGGTTGGTTAGAAAAAAAAAAAAAAAGGACTTCCAGAACAAAATATTTAGCCACAGCTCCTATTTATATTTAAGGTAGCATTGATTTACCCAATACCACAGTTAGCTACTAGAGAAAGCCTTAAACTTTTGTGATTTTTTTCAATGTATCTTATTCTATCGCAATATATATAATTTGATTAGCTGGTTTTAATGTCGAGGTTGGTGTATTATGTTGCAATAAAACTGCTAAATAATAGCTACTGTGAAGAAGGTTCCTTTGGCTTTGAGTGATGTGTTGCAGCCTTTTGTACGAAAGTTTTGTAACCGTAATGCTTAAGACATGCAGTAATAATAAAACAGATAAAGCATGTGGCTGTAATGATAATAATTTGGAGAAGAATTCCCACATTTTCAAGGCTCCAATTCTCTTGCTGGGGTAATCTCTGCAGCAGGCTTAACAAACCCCCCAGGGTGTGCCTTGCATTTTTGCTCCATGACACCCAAGGTAGGTTCCAAACAGGATTAATTGATTGAAAGGTGGAAGGATGAGCTGACATGCTCATTTTGCATTTGATGTCAGACAAACATGGGAAAAAAAACCAAACAAACTGGGTCAAGACTCTAACAAGGGATGAAAACATGGTAACATCTCTGACCTGATGGTGTTTGATGCAAAATACTGAACTGATTGATCATTATGCGGTGATAGAAGTTTTTGAGCATTACCTTTACCAGGACAGTTACAATCCCTAAAACATTTTTCTTATTGAAAATGAAAGATAAAAAATAACTTTTCAAAAGCCATTATCCTTAAGCGATTATGGTAATATTATCTACTGAGGTAATATTTCTCTCTTCACAAATAATCCAGTGAACAAATCTAGAGAAAAATGTAGCACATATCTACATTGTTGTCAGACATTGACATATCAGCCTAGAAATCTATAGATTACTGTTAATATAAAATAATACTATAATATCCAAGAAAGAGGCTTAAAAAACCTGATGCTGTTAAATTACAACAATCTGTCCACACCGACAAGGATTTTGCTAAATAAAGGTTTGATGACACAGCAGGGGATGTGACTCTCTTGTGCGTCAATGTCCTTATCAAATAGCAGATGGTACTGAAAATACTTCTTCCTAAAAAGGCACATATACTGTAGGCAACAAAGCATGAACAACAGGTACCATCATACTTTATGTGGCTAAAAAGCAACTATGCAACAGTAGCCTAGGGTTTAGCAAACATGTTCATTTCTTTTTACACTGCACTCTAATTCTTTATTGTTACACTAGGTTTTGATTAAAAACGACACATAATAAAATCAAATCTTTATGTCTGACATTAAATAGGAATAAATATATTTGAGATCAGTTAGAATAGGTAAAGTTTTTTGTTTTTGCTGAATGGCACAAAAATTGTATTTGTTTTTAATTGCGGTTTTTAAGGCATGTAAGGTATTTATTGACTTTGTAAACTTCTTATAGATTATATATAACTGGGATTACAGAATCCCAGTTAAATAAAGACACCATGTTCTACAAGTAAATATCTTGGACTTACTCTCACATTGGTCAGTCCCAAAGAAATGTATTAAGCAACCGTAAGTTGGCTAGACAAGTTCTGAGAAGGAAAATGTTGAAATGTATATATATATATATATCTATATATATATAGATATATGTATATATCTATATATATATACACACACACACACATATATAAAATCGAGGTCTAAAAAAGTAGATGTCATTTTTGTGGCAATTAAAGAAAAAAATATTTTTTGAAATTTTAACTGGCATAAAACAACTGAAATTTTGTCCAATTTTTACGTAAAACATAAGGATAGTGTGTATTTTAAGTTGGTGTCTGTATGTATTTGATTCCCACTGTACATGCTGTTGATGTATGTTGCTGTTGCATACATTACCAAGATAAATGGTTGGAAGAAACCTTTACAGAACGATAAAAACTTACAGAGCGGTTTTCAGACAACATTTCTTTAATACAAAGTCAACATATCTACATACACAGTGGCTTTAAACCAATCATTGTTTCAGTTAGAAGTAACAGTTTGAAAGTGGTAGCACTTGGCCATCATATAAAGGAAAATGGTTTGCTGTGTTATGGATTCTTTGTCGATATGTACTGTTTACTTTAAGTGTTGTCCTTCTCAATATGACTTTTTTTTCTTTTTTTTTTAATGGTCACTGTTACTCCCTAACCTTTCCACAACACTTAGCAACAATATTTCAGAAAAATTTAGTGGCTGTTTTTCAAAAGTTAGCATCTTTACTTGAAACCATAAGAACGACACATTGTACAAGCTTTGAGACGCTCAAAGTTTCAAATTTTGACGCGGGCCTTTATTAGCTGTCTCTGTGAAGTCCAACAGATTCAAGTCTATTGAGAAGCTTTTCTATGGGAATTTACAGCATGTTTTTGGTAGTCTCAGTCCATCCTTGGTTGCATTCCAATGCTGTTTCCTCTGATTCCTCATTTCTTTATGCATCCCATCATGAAACATGATTTAAAAAAAAAACAAAAAAAACTAAAACAATGTGATTTTATACAAGGCAATAGGGAGAACAATAAGTTTAAATGTGGCAATTGAACCATGTATGGCCTTTTTCATAGTTGCTTTCTGCCAATTTTACACAGAAAGGCCAAAAAAAACATAAAATGGGCAAAAGTCAGTTTAAAAAGCCTCTTTAGTTATTTTGTCCATTATAGGAATGATTTTTGTAGTTAATTGATAGAGAAAACCAATGTATCTGTTTAATCCGACCTGTAGATCACTGACACTAATTTGTTTGCCCCTCATTCGGAATGCGGGAACATAGGTTGGCATATTTCCCAGTTTGACTACTAGCATGGGAAATAAGGCAGAAAAAAAAGGAAGGTAATCAAAGACCTGGGAGCAGAGCTAGAGGGTGGAAGGTTGGAAAAAAGAGGCTTCACAAACACCAGGAAACTGGAAATGAGCAGAACTTTGATCTGTGCATTGGTGTCCCCCACTACATGTATGAGATCTTTAGGGTCAAATGATACGTATATTCTATATATATTTGTTTATTTACACATATACTCTAGATCATAGTGGATGTCTAATAAAATCAATGGCAACAATATGTCTGAAAATATAAGTAAAAAAAGAGAACTTTAAGAGGATTTTTCTTCAGATTGTGAGGGTTACAGTCTGTACATAATCATACAAGGTACAGCATGATATAGACACTTAAAATGCAGAGCGATAAAACTTTGACATTTGTAGACCATAAAAAAAAAAAAACAACTTAATGACAGTGAAGAAAATGTGTTAAAATAGAGTTTCATCATTGGTACAAGTTAATTCCAAAGGACATGAGAAAAATAAAAGATCCAACAAAAAGATGACAGTCCCTCAGTTTTCTTAAAGAGACACTCCAGAATTACAGAATAATAATAGCAAAACAAAAATTTTCAGACAAGATTTGACAGGTATAAAACAAATTGGATGACAAGAAAAATGTATTTCATACTAATTGTTTGGATATATTTTCTGATTCTGCTTTTAAATATATATGCATGTGTAAGTGGGCATATATATTTCTATATAGAGATATATACAATCATATATCTCTATGTAGATATGTATGCGCCCCTACACGGTCATGTTATAATTAGCATTTCTACGGTGAAAAAATAGAATGTCTTTTAACATAATATGAACATATAAGCATTTCTCTTTTTTTTCTGCTAATTAAAAAAAGTGACAAACATCTGTTAAAAAAAACAACTAAATCCAAACAGAAAATAAAAGCTAACTATGTCATGTTAAATGAATCATCATAATACAACAGTAATGTTTTCATAGTGTTACAATAACAATAAGGCTTTTTTGGAACTCAGAAAAGATCACACACAGTTCTGTCCAAAGCTCTGTTGCTTTTTTTTGTGCACATCCACCAGAGAGCCCTCAGAGAATCCATTCGCTCACATGTACCAAAGCGCCATCTTTGACGTAAAAACTTGGAGGTTTTTGCAGTTGAATTGGGGAGTTTGTTTCGAGTTTATTCTCTGTTTTTGCTTTTGGGATGTGCAAGTACCAGAGAAAATTTTGCATCGGGATCTGTCGTGGCTACTTGCTCTGGCCGTGTCACCCACTGGGTCATTGTCCGTAAAATAGGGGGTAAACACCAAAGCGTCTTGCTTTTTTTTCTGTCAACCAGTTACCAAACACACATATAGTAAAACTTAGGGCCAATTTGTCAATCACGTTAATGTACAACTTTGTCGTTGCAAGCGATCTTGCTGCTCTTGAGTTTCTTGTACAATGATAAGAGCAATTATAGAGGAGGCTAGGAAAAAAATCAGATGAAAGAAAAAAAAAAGCAGTGGTGAACAGTGAAGTCATGTGGATGTGCTTTCTTTCATGCCCACCCAGGCGCAAGGAGTTAGCAGAGCTGGCATTTTTTTTGTTTAATCTCTTTTTCAAAGAGTCACACATACAGCATACACAAGATAAGCAGCATGTTTTGTTTTTAACAGAAAAGAGAACTGAAAACAAGGAAAGAAAAATAGATTTTTGTCCTTCAAAGACAAAGTAGTCCCAAACAATGATGATAAGCGTTGGTCACTGTACACAAAGAAAGCCCCAGATGTGGCAGCGTTTCTTTGTTTGGTTGATCCACCTTGTTCCAAAGCCTTTTCTCCTCACCGGACTCAGGGTGGATGTTTTCTGCATCAGCCATTTGGTGCCATGTTTTAAAGAGAGCCATGTGTTAAAAATAAAAACATGGGTCGAAGTTGAGGTTTACATCATCCCCATGACAGACAAAGCTGAAGATTCTTGCAATTGATGGGATTTTTCCTTGAACGATTTGGCCAGTGAAATGTTGAATTTACCGGGGTAAATCTCCCTTTGAAATAATCCAGATTTCTTTTACTGAATTACAGGGCTTAAATTAAAGATTTCCTGCATTTCTAAAAAGTAACTGCATTTATATATGTGCTGATGTTTTCTCTTTGACAACGACTGGGAATGTCCCTTCTTAAAGCTCCTGGCACTTAACAGGCAGTTTGGTGATATTCTCTGGAATTAAAGAAAACTTTTCACAAAACATAATTTAAGTAGAACTGTGCAAAAACTCAAGGTTTCCTTTTTTTTACTGCCAAATGTGGGTGTTCTTGTTCTATTTCATGTTTTTGATTGAGAAAAGCCACTTCTCTTCATTGGTGTTGACACAATTTGTCAATTTCTTAGGTTAAACCCGTCATGAAATAGTTGTTGAAAATACTTGAACCCTCTACCCTCCTTTTTTTCACATGCAAAACAGGCATGTGTCCCAGTCGTGGCTACATCCATCTGCTTCTCTTTGATTTGCGCTTCACTTACTTCATAATCGGTTGGTTGTCGCCGCTGTGTCACATAGACATTTTTATTTTAGAAGAGCAATGTCCAAGAATGTATACAACTTCCTCCACACTAAAACACTTGAGGTAAAGTAAGGAGTCTGTCACTTGGATCGATACCCATCCCACAGCTTGAGCCACGGCGTATGGTTTCTCGTTGCTTAGAATGGTCTTAAGTTGAAATTATGGGGAATTTTTCTTCTGTGACTAGAGACTCAATTGAAATTTCTCCTGTTCTGGTCATGTTCGCTGTTTGCTTAAAAAAATCTACAGGATCCTGTTTGGTGTTTTTGAACAAGCAGTTGTAAAATTATCGACCGCTGTCATCGTTTCAAATTTGAAAAGTTTCTATGGCTCAGGAAACCATTGAGTTGGGCGAGGAGGGGGTTACAGGATTCTGAGAGGAGGAGATGGCTTTTTACGTTGCATAGTGATCAAAGCTTCCTAAGTACTCAAGAGCTGCGTGATAGCAAAATTGGTATTCGTCCTGAAAAAAAAGGAGAAAAAAAATTTATCTGAAAACATAACACCAGAGGTTTAATATATTGCTAACATTTCATTTTAATTACGATTTACACCAACAAGAATCTGTTTCATTATTTGTCCACCTTGGAACATTTCTGACCTCTGTTTGGACCATAGCTGGCCTCTGCGTCCGGAGCATCTTCACTGTTTGAAAGATATCAACCACACCCTCATAACGCATTCTCTCCAGGACTATACTGAGGGTTATGAAGACTCCAGTTCTTCCCACTCCAGCACTAGATGTAAGGAACAAAAAAGAGAAAAAAACAAGATGAATTATATTGCTAATGGACATCACAATTGGTACCAAACCAACTATGGGTGCATTTCATGGAATAAAAACATAATATCCTTTCAGCCATTCAGTTTAAGACGGGAAATCCTTCTGTTAAACAGATTAAGGTCTTTCCAAGTGTTTATCAGTGCCATTTTTTGTTTTTTTTTATTATGGTTTTTAACTGCTGAAAACCAAAATAATGTTTCTCACAAAAATCAAGACTATGAAATAAAACAGATGAAAAGAATATCCATTTAGTGACATAATATGTACTTATCCATATTTTTATCTTAAGTGTATATATTAGTCTATTTGCATGCCTTAACCCACAGTGTTTTAGATATTTTTATAATTTTTATAATTCTATTCCATATTATATGTTCACGATTGTACCATAAAAAAATTCCTAGTCTGTGAACTCCTTCACTAACAATGGCAATAAACCTGATTCTGATTTTGATTATCACTCAAGCAACATTTCTTTCTCTTAATCAGAATTTCCATGAAGTTCATCAATGAAGGTAACCTCGTGCTCAAAATATTACTAGTAGTTGGCTGTCTGACTTTTTCTCCAGACTCTGGTAACTTGTAACTCAATGGAAATGCAAATTGACTCTTTTTCTGTATATCTAGCATTATCAATAAGTAAGACACTCATGACATTGTCAGTGGTTTAGGAGTGGATGAACACAAAGCCTGCAACAGTCATCACACAGGTATTGGATGCATCTTAGTGTAGTGGCTCTTGAAGCACTTAGCCATGGTCCACACCTTATGAATCTCCTTTAAACACTTGATTGGGCTTTGCTACACAATCCCTTTAAGGCTATGTCTATTTCTGCTGTCTATGCACTTTTTTTTACTTTAGTTTTACCCTCCAGCAGACTTTGTATTTATATCCTTGGAAGGGACCCTTTAACGTTTTTTCTATTGATCCGACTCTAACACTTGTGATGGGTACCAATTGCTCTCTGGTATAAGGCTCTGTTGGATATAACAGTATGAGATTTAAAAATAGAATTTTTTTATTGGCCTTATGCTTTTTAATTTAGGAGAAACAGATTTGTGGTGTTTCATTACATAATCAAGCCCTAGTTACAAAAACTGAAATATGTCTTTTTCTTTTTTTTTTTTTATAAATTTGTGAAATATTAATATTTTTACAATTTAAATAATTAATGAAATAAATCAACTGTTTGATTGTGTTCTAATATGACTTGTGTTTCCCTTGAGTCCTCATCATTTTGGTATAAAAACAAGACCTATAAAGGGATTACCAATATAATGTTTCCATATAAGTATTGTATATCTAATAAAGACTGTATGGTAAAAAAAACCAAAAAAAAAAACCATGTTATTAGTTCCATCTTCCTAAAAAGTTCCAGAGCAAGAAAAAAGGCTTCAAGGTAACCAGAACAACAGCAAGGAGACTATTTGCATGCAAGAACCCTGCGATCCACTAACACATGTGCCTCCATTCTAGTCCTCAAGGACACATGCACAGATTGCAATTCCTACCCATACACATACAGAACATTTAGTCTCATTAAGTTCCTCCTTCCATGTGTTGGGAGAAAAAAAAGAAAAAAAAACTCAGCCTGCTGCTGGTCTCCAGAAATAAAGCTTGAGTCTTAACTCAGATGCTGAAATACTTGAGAGTTGGCTCAGTAAGCTGCTTTGCTGTGAAATGACTTCCACATCACCAATGGAACAATAATTGATATGACAACAGATTTATTTCAGCTTCTTGCCTTTGATGCCACTTTGTAGAGGGAGACTCTTTCGCTGACAAGTTTGTGTGTGTTTGGTAGACAAAAGTTGCTTGTATGATTTTTACCCAATTTCAAATGATAGCACTCTAATCACACAGAGCAATCACCCCACCATGAGGCACAAAATCTCAGCCCACCCAAAGCTGCTTTCCAGGACTTCTCTTTCAACCTCCTCCTCTCCAGATCCAAATCTTTAGGAGAAGCAAGCCACTGCAGACTGAGAGGATTTGATGTCCTCTCATTCACAGGGCGTAATCATGCAATTAATGACAAAAAGCATGTGGTCCTATTAGAGAGGGATGGGAGAGGAGAGGAGGAGGCGGAGCTAAAAAGCGATCCAGGAGAACGGATGGATGGGAACGAGGAGAGAGTGAGAGGATTAGGGAATAGGGAGATGACAGACTGGGAAGTCTGGTGATAGAAAACGCAAGAGTAAGAGAAAAGGAAAACATAAGCTCTTCTCTTGGAGATAAGCAAGCTTGAAAAAGGAGGGAAAGAGAAAATGGAGCATGGTGGTTACTGAACTAAAATAATAAAAACATATACTCTAAAGAAATGTATTTCTAAAGCAAAAAAAAAAAATCCTCCTCTATCAAAACGCCCCAAAACATATCCTTTGGATGATTAACTAAATTCATCTTATTCATTATTCAATCTTCTACATCTATAAAAATATCATGTGATCCAGCTTCAGATTTTTCTTCTTAAACCTACATCTTGCAAATACTCTTGAATATGAAAAGGTTACTAAACCTTTAACTTCAAGCATGAGGTTATTTGGCTCAGCATATTCTAAGTGAACATACAGTGAATTTTAGGTTATTTTTGTCTATTAGAACAATTGACCTTAAGGTGTAATTCAGATCACAGTATCCAATTCAATTAATTTTTTTACGAAAATAAACAAAACAAAATGACACTAAAATATACAAAAATATCCTCCTTCTATAAAGGCTCTAAAAAAAAAAAAAAAAAAAAAAAAAAAAAAATCAAGTGCCTTAAAAATTCAGCTGCAAGTCCACCAAGCCATAGCCATTCACATAAAGTGACGGACTGGGCGAGGAGAGCATTAATCAGAGACAGCATTGTTGAAAGAAAACCCATTCACAGTTTGCCACCAGGCATAACACAGCAAAACTGTATAAGATGAGGCAAAATTTTTACTTTTCTCCCTCCCAGCAAATGACAGTGTGTGAACAAAAATCACCTCTGCACATCTCCCCGAACAAACCAATTCCATCGTGAGGCATGATGGCCGCAGCATGTTGCCGTAGGGATCATTTTGTTCAGCAAAGACTTTAAAGTTGGTTCCAGTTTCTGGGTAGATTAAAGGCATTCAATTCATGGCAATCCAGAGAGGAAACCTTGTAGAGGTTTTAAAAGACTTAGGACTACGGTAGTGTTCAGCCTCAAGCACCAATGACCAGAGATACAATGGAACAGTTGAAACTAAATGATATGCATCTGTTAAAATGGCTCAGGCAAATTCCAGAACTAACCCCAACCAAGAAATTGTAGAAAAACTTGAAATTTAACGTCCATACTCTCTCTCTAATCTCAATGAACTAGAAAAAGTAAGGGGAATTGGAAAAATGTGCGTCTCTGCATGCGCAAAGCTGTGATTCATATTACATCTTATAACACTAGAAGCTGTACCACCAGCAAAACATGACTCAACAAAGTACTGACTCAGAGGGTGAAAGCAGGTGATTATTTTTTAAAAACATATTTTTCTAACGTTACCTCTAATACCGCTACCAATTAGAACTGCTGTAGAAAGTGTCAAGCTAGCTGCCTCCCTCTGGGCCCTGGACAAATAAAATATGGAGATGGGTCCCCAACTGTGACATTCATTTTCAGTATATTAAAATCTGATTGGATCAGCTAAGAGTAATACCTGCAGACAATAGGCAGTTTATTTCAAATGTTCAGTATCCTCAAACCTTTAAATAAACAGAAACATTTAATATGCAGAGACCTTTTCCGCCAGCCATTATCCCAGTCCAGTAATAACTACACCCCACACAGATGATGTGTAAAATCTTGTAGGAGCTTTCCTTACAGTACATATATTACAGGCCTAAGAATACGCTTTTCCACCAGGTGACATCATCTTATTTAACCAAATGGAAGCTGGTGTCATGCTTCTTGATGTAATGGTGCTTATGAGAAGGCAGTGTAAGAACGGGTGTGACACCCTAGTCAAAAAGGTGATTATGTCTATTAAATTAGATATATTGTCAACCCATCGTGCAGTCACCAAAGCTTTATTTCAAAACTAAATGTTCAAATAAAAATTGTGCAAAAGATCACAATGGACATTATTTTTATTGTTTTCTGGAAATTCGATATATAAAATCAGATGTATATACAAAATCCATTTTGACGCTTTGGAAAGTAAGAACTTTTTAAAGGAAACTTCTTTGAGATCAGAACAAATATGGATAGTCTGAGTTTTTGCTTCCAATCCAGCATGCAAGTAATGATGTAAGTTACCTTGGAATCTAGACTCTAGGTCATAAAATAAAAAAAAATGCTACATGAAATGGTCATAAAACCTAAAAAGATGGCTCTATGCTTTCATTCATCTCATCTTTTTCAAATGCCAAGCCTTATCTGAGCTTTATCAATTATAGAGGAGAAGGGCGTGTTAAGGTGCAGAGGTTGTGTTCCACAGAGGTAAAAAGGAGAGGAGGAATCATATCTGATCCTGAAGGTAGAGGTGTACTGCAGGAGGAGCTCTCCAACAAAACAAAACACATTATAAAACTCCTTAAGGTTTGACAGTTTTTTAAAAAAATTCAGTCACCTTGGTTTACCTTTTTTCTAGGAAAAGAAGAACCTGGATAAAACTTTTAAAAGTAAAATCTTCAAGGGAGTTAAGAGATTTAACTTGAGGGTTTTTCACTAAATATGGAAGCGATTTCTAATGCTTCTGTATAAATGTTGGTATTTGTTTGTCAGATATATCAGGGTTTTAAAAATAATATAATATAAGCATTGCATAAGAGTATACTGAAAATAAATTATTAGTCTTATTTAGGCATTTTTAAGATGAAAAAGGTAAAACATTAGTTTACATTTAAAAAGAATTAAGGATTAATTATTCCCTTTATGCTCCAGGTCCATTAACATCAGCTTTTTTTTTTTAGATATGACACTGCAAATAAATGTTGAAGCTGTGCTTTCAGTATGCTAGGATACCATAAAAAAAGTCATTTTGCATAAACTGTACTGTAAATAAATCAGTTTTTTACTTTTTGCATGAAATATTTGCCATTTACTGCATACGATAAGGACTGTTCCTGGTAGCCGTCCAAAAAGGAAACTAAATAAAAGATATAATTTCTTTTTAAAATTATCTTTTTTAATTGAATAGTTACTTTAATGGATGTTTTTAAAGGTTCAAAATTGTCAAGCATGCAAATGACCTTCTTTCAACTGTTGGCAATACACACAATAAGAAACATTACCTGCAATGTACAGAGATGGGTCCATCCTGTCCAAACTGCTCCTTGGTTTTATGAACCTGTCCGATAAAATCAATGAATCCCTCTCCGGATTTGGGCACACCTTGCTCCGGCCAATCAGTAAACTGGAACTGCCGTACTGTCCTGGACTGGCCATCCTGCAAATAACAGAAAATTGAGATAAGGAAGAAGGTATATGTAATATTAGAAAAGGCACATCATATATATATATATATATATATGTGAAGATGCATTTTTTTTCCTGCTGTGTTTCTGTGTGTATATGTGCGTCAAAAGTAGGCCCAGGTAAACTAATCAATAATGTATCTGCTACGACAAGCACCTTCCTCGAGACTTCTCCATGTTGAATAAGATAATCCTGTGATGGAATCAATAAAGCAGCCTGATAGGTTGGCAGAACTGAGAAGGAGAGAAGCAAGAACAGCTCCAGAGAAGGGATTGGAAAATGAACAAAAAAAGTGACTCTCCCAAAAAAATCTAAACTATTTCATCTTTGATTAAGTTTGATAGAATTTAAGGTGCAGATGGAGCATTGTATGCAAACAAAAACATCTGAAGACATCTTGAAATTGAAGCAGGATTGCATGGGGACATAGGGAGTGATTTCAGTTTTTATTTTGAGAGAGCTATTATAAGTCTGACAGAGCACACAGTCAATACTTTTGTCCTTGGTAAGAAAAGTTCTTTTCAAATTGTCATAGATAGAACAAATTAGTGCAGAAAGTCAGCAGAGACAAGCAGTTTTATATAGACAGGCTCTCTGCTTGATGCCACCACTAATTAAGACAACCAGGTGTTCACTTTTTCTGGTAGTTTCTCACCTCTTTGCACAAAAGACTTCAAGGCAGTGCTCCATTGTCACATACACTCAACCACAAATATTTATACTGGAATGGCCCCGTTTGGGGGAGAGAAAAACAAACTTGTAAGGTAGGTATGTGTGGTATCCTGCTTTTTGATGGAAGAAAAGAAAATAAAGTCAGTTTTTCTAAATATATTTTTAATTCAGTGCAACAAGAAAATTGATCTTTAAGTATAACACAACTCTTTTAGGACAACAGTTTAAGACAGATAAAAAAGTACGAAATAAATTAGGTACTAAAGTCATACCCAAAAGAGTGATGTTAATTGCCCACTGCAATAAGCCAGTAATATGAATATACATAATTCTTTATTCAATTTTTATTCTACTTAAAGGATGTATAACCATCTGCCTCCTTGGACTGTGTAATTTTGCCCCAAATGATTAGTTTTTTCTACCAAGATAATGAATTTATCTGGATTTTTCTCTGTACTGACCACAAGAAACTAACATTGTGATTACTGGAAAATATTTTGATATATTGTAAATGCAATTAATTGTATAGCTGGTCTGCTTCTTATAAGATACTCATAAGAGGGAACTCAAAGTTATGTTGATAGATTGGTCTAGGACAGAGGTCACGGATTAGCGGATCGCGGTCCGGATCCGGACCCACCTGCTGGCTATTCCGGATCCAACCTGATTTAAAACATACTGTCCGCCGCTTCTCCTGTTAATATGGAGCGTCTGGACCAAGCTACACATGATAAAAATTTTCCAATGAGCTGTCAGGGCTGCTGCTGCTAGCCACTTTTAGACACTGCAGGCAAGCCGGGCGATGGGAAAGAAGGGGAAGACGAGAAAAAGAGAGCAGAGAAAGTGTGGACTGCTGGAGGAACTGCGGTGAACTGGTGAAAGAAAAGTGAAATGGTGTGCTCAAAGTTTACCCTGCACATTTTGAGTATATTTGGCTAAACATACTGCTGTGAAGCAGGATTCCTGACCATGACCATAATCAAAGATAAATATTGATCCAGGCTCAAAATGAGCACCTTGATATGTGCCTCAGAATGGCTTTGTCACCATTCAAACCCAGGTTTAAAGCCTTGCAGGGCAGCATAAAGCCCACTTCTCTCATTAAGCCACAAAAAGAAAGAAGAAAAACAAAAACAAAAAAAACAAGCGGTCAGTTTGGGTGTTTTATAAAATATGTGAATCAGAAAATTGTCTATATACAAAACTGAATCATTGTTGTTCTCTACTTCTAAAACACTTTAGATTTTAAAATGGAAAAATGTTTTTTTTTTTTTAGATTTTTTTATTTGAAAATTCAATGTATAACATGGATGCATAAAAACTCATTTTATTTCAGTTTTAAATTATGTTTAAAGTAACAGATTATAATTGAAAATGTCTTCAGACCTTTACTGGTTGATGATTTTCTTTATTCGGACCCGGATGATTTTTAATTGGTTACTCCTGGTTTAGGACGTAACTTGCCAAATTTCAATAGTCGATTATCCAAAATTGCATAAGAATCAAAATAAAACAGAAAAAGATTTAATCAAAATAAAAAATTTAAAACTATGTATAAGTTAAGCTACACCCTAGACTTTATAATATAATCTATGAATACAATACTGAATAATTAACTGAAATGCCATCTTTAGGTAGAAAAGAGTATGTTTATCGGTATATCATTAAAATTGGGTTGGGTGGAAATTTACAGTGTCTTTGTGTGCAGCCCACCCCATCCCTAAGCACCTGAGTTAAACACAGATGAAAAATTTCCCAACAGTGCAACAGTTAAGAGATATCAAAAGAAACTTTTCACCACTTTTACATCAGATATTTCTACGAAATATTTCCCCTTCACAATTTGGACTTTGCTGTTATTTATTTATTTTTTTCTCTCCTCTGCTTCTTTAAAGGTAATAAAAGAAGCCCTGCTTTGAGAGTTTCATATAAACCGTGTGTTGCTTCATACTGACCTTGAGGATGTTTTATACTTGTTTTGGCAAGCGACAATTTAGAAGAGTACTCTACTGTTTGCTCAAAGAGCGAAGTAAGAAAATAAATCCTATTCAGTCAAAGAATGTTGCTCAGAAACACAATCATTAAAACATGTTATGATATAACGTTTTGCAACATAGTGCTTAAACACAGTAGGTTTTGTTTAAAATCACAGTCATCCATGTAAATGAATCAAATGATTTGAAAGGTAAATATTTTGAAGATATTACCCATGGAAAGAAAATAAGGCTTCTGAATTGACCTTTTGTGAGCCTTTTTCTTGACTATACCATTAAAAAATCTTGGTAGTTTTAATGGGAAACTGATAACACTTTGATTGCAAAACATTTCAGATACAACAGTTACCATTTGAAGTCCTCACCAAAAAAAAATAAACATTCAAGAAAGAAAACAAAAACCCTTGATGACATAAAAATGAAAAATTTAACAATACTGTCAAGTATTTGGTCTTATTTCCATCTTGCTGGAGCCAGTAGTTGTCCTGTACTACAGATGGTGACTGTACCATGTGAAGCTACTGTATGTCAAAGCATATCCATAATGGGTGAGTTGAAAATGCATTCCTGTTCTCTTGTTTATTTCTGCACCAATGCCACCAACACACGATCCCTTTCCTTGCTGCACTTTCAAAATATGGTGATCATAATGAGTTAAGCTCCACGTTCTGACTCCCTTTGCTTCCTTTCCTGTTTTATGATGCATCACATGCTTTCTGTCCTTTGGTGCTGTTGTTTCTTTAATCTTAAAAAAACCCAAAACATTTAGCCTAAGCAGGAGGATTAAAAATGAAAGAGGTGCAAAGACAAGTAAACAATAACCATGCTGAAGAGAATACAGAGGCAGAAAAAAACATAAAAAAAGAGAAATTTAACACACAACCTGAGGGCCCGCATGGTGTGTCAAATTCTGTGATTAAATACGTGACTGGCTCTCTAGATGCAAGTGCTGAGGCGAGGAGTCTATGTCATTATAGCATGAAGTCTATGCCATTGCTGTGCAGAGGCATGCGACAACGGGCAGAGGCACATTTGCGTGCAAAAACCCAATCATACATCTGATCTAAGGAATGCGCGATTAGATGCAACTATAAACATCTGAACATGTGTGTGTGTGTGCAAAGTAAAATGCGGCTATCATCACAAACACACCCTTACATACTCAACTCTGTTTACGCCACTATCACCTTCTCAATCTCTTTGCTTTGTTTCCATTGTTTCGGTGATAAGCTTAAACTGTCTCCTGGCTACAGTTGTGCAGCATGATAATTCAACCTGCTGCAAGAAAGCCCTTAGATAGAGAAACACTGGCTGGTCTTCAAGACAATCTATTAAGATTTTCTACTAAAGCAACTGCATGCATGTAATACACACCCTATAACAGCTTATAACATCAAGACAGAGAACTTAAGTTTTTAGTGACATTGACATCCTTTTAGACAAGCCTAGGATATATAAAATCAATTGGTTAGGTGTTAATAAAACATCAAAGACATCTAGCAATTTTTCAAATGATTTTATAGTTAGGTTGAATTAGGGCTGGGCGATATAGAAAAAAAGCTTATCGATAAAAAAAAATGCATATTGATCGATATCGATAATTATTGAAAAGATTTGAAACCATATTTTATGTGCAGCTCTGCCTGGACTTTTTATAATATTGCTAAATGATTTAATTTTAATAAAAAACACAAACACAGACTTCTAATTAAATCTTTATTTAATCAACTTTTTTAACCATAACAATTGTTTTAAAGAAAAATAACTTAAGAGGCCTGAGTTATGTTATTAAATAATGACAAAGAATAAACTAAAGTGACCAGAAAAGTGACCAAAATAAATATAACAAATAAATAAATGCCCCCCCTCGCCACCGCCGTTTCCTGCTTTAACCTGAGTTATTACTTTGAAGTTTCTGGCCCCTCAGCATTTTTATCTCAATTGTTAGAACTACGTGGGAAACTGCCCAGAACTGAAAATATATATATATTTTCCGAAGATTCCTCGGAGGAGAGCCGCGCCGGGGCCTACACAGCTCGTACTCCTGCGGCTGTGAGCGGCTGAGATGATAAAAAAAAAAAAAGGTTGGTTGTGTTATCAGACTGGTTTTCACTGGTTCCCGACACATTTTCCAGATGACTGTGGTTTGTTTTTGGTCCGACTTGCCATGACCGAAATATTGCCAGACTGCCGAACTATAGAAACCCTTCTTTGAAACAGTTTCCTCCGCCTCTCCTTGCTGCACAGCTTCATGTGCTCTGTGTTGTGGTCTGAGAGGGCGGCGCTTTGTGACGGCGTGCCTGGGTCCGCGATTGTGATTGGTTGGGAGGAAGCAGTGACTAGCATAAACATACATGCTAGGCTACAATGAGAAGGAAGGAAAACTGCGTTTCTTTTTTATCGAACTTTTATCGACCCTCTTTTTTTCTATTGCGCCACACGTCTATCGATCGATATATATCGTTATTGAATTATCGCCCAGCCCTAGGTTGAATTCAGAAATCTATAAAAACACAAAAACAAAATCTTTTCCAAAGCCTGGCTATGATGTCTACTTTCTTCTTTTATATAGTGTGACCATTTCAATCACAACATCTTTTCAAAAACATCTTTTGGATGTGCATTTCTTACCCTGGCATCAGTGACCTTGAACTCCCGGAGGATGTACTGAGGCATGTTGTACTCAGCCATAGGATCTACCACAAAGTACTGATACCTTGCAGAGCGCTCAGCTGGCCAGTATTGGTGACACTTTTCCTGTAGATGCAAAAGGATTTATAATCAGGTGATTCAAAAATCTTTCCACAAAGTTGTTTAATATATTCTAAAGTCTTACCCGGCCCATCTCTCTAAGTTTGGTCAACATGACTACTATAGTGGAGTTGTTCTCCCAGAGCATTCTCCAGAAGTCTTCCGTAGTCTCTGCTAGTGGGCCCTGCGTGGCGATGTATGCCCTCTGTTGCCTGTTTGAGATCAAACCATGTATAAACTGCTTACATTTAACTTGCCTTAATCTGACATTGTAGCTTTGCTTCAACTGTCTTACCTGTAGCCATCAATGAAGCTAGCATTGATGTAGTCAGAGCCTTCCAGACCTCTGATTGGCTGCAGGCAGACACGGGTGGTCTCATAGGGCATAATGTTAACCAGCCGGTTCTTGAACTTGTTGCAGGGAAGGTTGGCACTGATGAAGCGTGATGTATGGGCCTTTGAATTGGCCAAACGCTGTAACAGAAGGATGCAGGGATATTTTAATACAGTGAAATGAAATTCTGACAGCAGAGTGAAAATCAATTCAAAATAATCATGAAAATGAAAGAGGCCACATTAGTGCTAATTAAAAATAAAGACAGTTAGACAGAGAAGAGGAGAAATTTGGAAAGGTACAATTTAAGAGAGAATAGGAGAAAAACAGGTGCAAGATGGATAAAAAGTCTAAAATATCAAAGAAAGTGAGAAAGCAAGGCCAATCTTAATCTAGTCTTTCACCCGTGTTTTAGCAACAATGCCCAAACTTCAAAGGGATGTTATTCATAAAAAACTGACAGAAAAAAAAATCCAGAAACTTTGTCCCTATTTGCAACACAGGAGGTCCTGTTGGGTCAGACATAAAGAGTGAAAACACACCACACAGCCTGACTAACAAGCCTCTGAATCGAGTGTGTATGAAACAGAAAACTCCTCGGAAAGTAGGTCACTAGTGTCTTTGATAACAGCCAAGTGTGTGTGCATAAAAGATGGAGTTGTTCAGCAGAGAAACACACATACACAATAAAGTGATAAAAACAAAAAGTGGTCCTGCTTCATCATCAGAAGGACCCCAGGAAATTTTGAGGTCAGCAATTTTTTATGATCTCCCCTATGGGTTTTTATATTTCAGCAAAGACTGTATGATTTATGTCTGCTTGCTTGTTAGGCTAACGTTATACAACACTGTCAGTCAGCATAGAGCCGGTTTTAAATTAATACATTGTGCCCTATCTTCAAAGATTCCAAATAAAGGGTGCTAAATTTAATGTGCAATAAGGGTGTGTTGCGGTTGATCTAGAAACAAATATTAAAATATGCTAACAGGTTTCACCCCAGTAAAAGAAGTGGATTGGTTTGACTGCCTCATGGTTTAAGATATATGCAAAGGTTATCTTTGTCTGCTGACTGACCATTGAACATTCCATCATTCTTCCAAAAGCAGAAGCTGCAGTAAGATATAGAGCAGATTATGCTCTAAACAGCTGGATTAATCTCTACCAACTCCACTCAACAACAGCCTGACCCGATATGCTGCAAAAACAATGCAAGTCCATCATAATATCTTAGAAGTTAAATAATCTTTGAGCAGAACCTGTTGAAAATTGAGGTTGTAATAAAGCCCTCTTGCCATGAGTAACAGATGCGGAGTTTCAGGAGGACATCCATTAGCATAGTTCCACTCATTAATTTAGACAGTTTGGTCATTATTATTACTGATTGCACACTCCAAGTTCTGCTTTGTTTACGATGTGCTAACCTTTTGAAGATAAGGCCCATGGTGTAATGAAGAAAATATCTAAATATCAAAACTCTGATTGCTCCAACTATTGAATGCTCCATACCTAAGCACACTAAAACATGTTACTATAGGATGTAGACTGAAATGTAGTTATTTTCTATATCGGTCAAAAATTTTCACCTGCTGTATGAACCAGGCTGCATGAAATGAACAAACGAGGAACATACGCTAGATGCTTTTCTTCATGCATTAGAGATGTTAGAACAATTACTTTAAAGCATTTAATACATATTTACAATGGCAGCTTTACATATAAGTTGTTTGATGATCAATAAACGAAACTAAAATAAAAGTTTTATGCATTACTTGATGCCAGCTTGGTGAATTTTATCATTAAGAGTCAACTTCTCCACAAAATAGAAAAAAGTACAACTTAATATTTTAAGAAATATAACACCTGTCATGTTTTAATAAAACCCCAATAAGATAAAAGTTGTTAATAATACCCCTTATTAGGATTACTATAATAATGAGCAAATTCAAGATATTTATAAATGTAACAACTGGTATAAACATTACTACTAGGGGCTCACATTAAAAGTAGCAAAGCATGCTCAAAATTACTGATGATAATTCCTCATATCACCTATAATATTACAGTTCATTTCCTCAGGTTGAACTGCAATCAGAAAAAAAGTCATTTACATGTATAATTGAGGTTAAGAAGAGGTCTTCCTAACTTGGAAAACTTTCCACAAGAGAACTAGTCATACTTCCAGAGAGGGAAATTAAAGCCCTTCCTGACAGCTATAGAAAAAGATTTAAAAGAGTCTGAAGTGCTGGAGCTGTGCAGAGAACAGTGTGAAGACTGTTGCATAAAAATAACCACCCTGAGCACAAAACCCTACCGCAACTTTCAGAATCTCTTTCTGAATCATCTGAAAAGACATATGCATATATTACAGAATGGGTTCTGATTTTAACTTTGAAAACAAACATCCTATAAAATATATATATGAGGATCCTGTGAGAGAAAGAATCTGAAAGAAATAGACTTCGTTATATTTCAGTTATGGATATGACTTTAAATCTTGAATCATGAATTATTCATTTCCACTACACCGTGGACTGCTTTTAGTTTCTTGGACTTTCATGTCCTCTCACTAAAACTGACCAGCGTCATCACTGTTTAAAATAAAAGAGAACTTTGTTTTTATTGTTTCTATCCATATCAGAATTAAAACTGCTGTTGAATTGAAAATAACCTATTTTCTGTTTATTGTAGAAATGCATCCCAGCAACCAAGTAGCTCTTTTTTTGTCTGCGTTGTAATGTGTTTGAACTGTGCTTTGCTGAATACTTTCAGCAAGCAGATTATGTGCATGAAAAAGCTCCGTGCTCAGACATGTTATGCATGTTCATTCACAATACAGCAAAGAGATTTCCTGACAGCCTCACCATTTTATTTTCTCTCTGCTTAACTACAGCGAATTCCTCCTTCAGATTTAGCTAAACTCACAATCAAACTGCATCAAGTGTGAGAGCTAACATTCCTTCCTACAAATCCTTGTAATACATCAACATTTGTAGGATGAGTCTAAATTGGAAAAAAAACATAATTTCTTAGCCAATTAACTAAAAATGTATTCATAAAAATTCCCAGCTATCCACATTTATTGCCCATTGACTTTACTTTTTTAGCCTTCAGAACCACCAATTTTCTCTTAACCAGCTGTTTAGTGGACATTACTCAGCTCAGTTAGACTCCTAACACCAAACAATTAGCAATCAGGATTCCATCGGAAGTTTGGATCAAGATGGTTTAAAAGCACCACCAGTACAATTTTTTGACTGTAAATCATAAGAGTTATAATTATGTGCTCTTTTGTTTTGCTTGGCTTTTTAAAAACTGTTAAAACATCTTACATATTAACAATATGGCTAATCTAAAAAGTGTTAAGGTCACTAAGACTTTAAACAACAAACGGTAATAGATTCATTTATGTGTTTAGATATGCTGGACTTTTGATTACTAAAATAAAAAACTAAAAATAAAGGTGTGAATGCATAAACAATTTTCTGAGGTCAGCTTGGATATGACTATTTTAGGAGCTGGTTTGCGACATTTCTAGAAGTCTGAATAGAATCTCCTGACACCAATAGACCAATGTGACTCCACTTAAGCAGACGAGTTATTGCCTGGATATGTCTGTGCTAAAAATATATATAATGTCCATCTAAACACTGTTGTCAGTTAATCTAAAACAATTACACCTATCTCATATAATAGTTAAGATATACTCACTTAAAAAAAAAAGAAAAAAAAAAGTGGGGACTCTTCTTCACTGGTAGGACAGTGGATGGATAAGGGGGTTGTCTCTAAAGTGTATAGGTATCTTTTCACTAATTATAAAAACACTGGGATGCCTATCAATGCACAAAAATGCAACTGAAAAGAATGCCAGCCTTGTATATGTCTGAAAAACGAATAACCGTTTCACCTGTGTTTGACTCTATAGTAGTGAGGATCTAGTTGCTTAGTATACCTTCCCTGTTGGATATCAATATGTAATTTCTGCCTTCTCTCATTCCTTTGATTTCCACATTTCCTAGTCAAGCTTTACAGGGGCAGAGCTAGATGGGGGGCCAGGAGTGGCCATGGTCACCCTTAGCCAATCATTGGCCACCCCTACCATTTTTTTCCCTCTAATACAGATGTCAGCAGTAGTAATACTGGAATATTCAAAACATTTTAATTTTACATATATTAACAATTACTTAACAAAAACATTGTGGTTAATGATGCAGTACAGAATTCAAGCAGAAATAGATTTTGTGTTATATGAGGTAAAGAGATAATTATGTGTCTCTGCAAGTCATCTAGGAGTTTTCAGTGAAATCATAGATACTATTTTTATAAAAACTTACAGAAAAATCAATTTATGTCGATATTAGTACTTGTAAATATCAATTTTATGCAGAATGATTACTCATAAAAGTAGGTAAGTAATGACAATGGAAAAGATGATGCCCAAAACTCAAACCTGAAAGAATTTTATCCACCATACCTTTCATCTAGAAAGCACGGATGTTTGAATATATTTCCCAATTTGTCAGCAAAGGCTGTGGGAAAGTATAGTTTGTCTTTATTTAGAAAATATGGTTGTTTTGCTCATTAATTTTTCTGTTGAAACATTGCAGATTGACCTTTACTTTCGGCCACCCCTCAGTGTGCATTGGTTATTGCCTGGCCACCCTCATAAGAATTTTCTGGCTACGCCTCTGAAGCTTTACAAATAATGATTAAAATATTAAAAAGATTGTCCTATTCAATTCAATGCCTGTCTAAGACTGTCTAAGACTAATAATCCAAAGGAAAATTAAATATAATAAATATATTAATAAATGAGTCCAACAAATAAATGAACAAATTAATGAATTTGGAAAGTCCAAAAAGCTTGTCTACACTTCATTAGTCAGTTTTTTCAGCACAGTAAAATCAACACTACAAACAAGCTGCCCAATCACCTACAACGCATATAGGAGGTGTTCAAAGTGGAAGCCAGGTTGTTAAAATGTTCATTAAGGCATTTAGTACCTTGAATTCCAGCTCCATGCCAGTAACATGCTCGCCGCTCTCCACCTGGGCCAACTTCTGGATGTAAGAGTACAGGCTTCGAGCGGCCACCTCGGTGTTTCCACAGGCCACTGCCTCTAGCAGCGCATCATGAATAAAGCTGTACTGGTCCTCTGTCTGCACCATGTAGTTGCGCTGCGAGCGCATCAGCGTCACGTGGCCGTAGATGTCGACCGTCTTCTCGTGCTTGATACGCTCGAGCATGGCGTCAATTACTATAAAGCAGCCTGTCCGGCCAACACCAGCACTGAAAGGGAGAAGAAAGAAGAAAAAGGGAAATTCATTTATGCTAATTCTATTGTTTAATAGCCTTATTGAAATGTGATGCCAAACATCACAAAATGCAATGAACTGATGTAGTTAAAAGTAATTAAATTATGGGAAGAAAAAAAAATAAAAGAAGAAAAAGAGAGGAAAAACAAACAGAATGAAAAAATAATACAACAAAAGTGATGGAGACTCAGCATGGCAAGCTGTCACATTTCAAATTTATTGTGCAGCGCTTTGGACTCACTGAAGCCTTCTTATCTTGACAAAAAGGAAGGTTTCAATTTGAATAAGCCATTAGAGAAATATAACTCATATGAGGAGGAAGAACTGAGGAGGGAAAAGGAAGAGGTAGAAAAAGGCTGGCAAGGATTACTGTGAGACATTTGACAGGGAGAGGAGAAGTAAAACAGGTGGGGAGAATAAGAAGAGCTAAAATGAGGCAGCACGGAAAAAGAATGATGGAAACAATATCAGGAGACTAAAGAAAATAGACCCGAGCTTGTATGAGGTCTGTTATGTAACCTATTATTAAATATGTATAGGGAGGAGATCTGCCAATCTGTATGATGGGTTTATATAAAAGAAGGAAAAATGAATTAAATAACAAGTAAAAGGCAAAAGAAACACATTATTCTGCAAGTGCAAGGCCGTTTAAAAATTTTCCTTAAAGTCCAACTTACTCATTTGGGAATCGCTTTTCAAGTTGAGATCATTTGCATTGCAGAGCATATTCTAATACCAGAAAAAAGATCACTGACCTGCAGTGAGCAATGATGGGTCCAGCATCAGGGGGGTTGCAAGTCTTCACCCTACGGAGGAAGGCTAGGAAAGGGGTTGGGTATTCTGGCACGCCGTGGTCTGGCCATGCTGTGAACTGGAACTGTCGAACCTCCCTCTTTTCACTCGAGCCATTCTGGAAAGCAGACAACAGGGGATGGCAATCAGGATATTGCATAAAAGCTTTTAAATGAGAAACTGATTTGTAGTTTTTGATTTTGGTAGTCTCTAATATGATATACCCTTAAGTCCTAACACTAAACTTCCACAGATGTTCAGGTGATAAATATGAAATAGAATGTCAATGAAAAATGAAGCTAGCTCTGACAAAATGTCCGACCCTTTAATGCAGTACAGTGTATTTACATAGCTCACAGCATGTCATCTCATTGCACTTTAGAGAGTCAATTCTATCAGACAATACAGTCAGATTGGTTTCTATCTAAGGAAACCCAGCTGATTGCACCGAGTCGTTGACTTTGCACGATCGACCCGCCCCAGGTGAGTATCCGGTGACAGTAGATATTTGTTTATACATATATATATATATATATTTTTTTATTATATAAAAAAAAGATATTTGTTTATATTGTGTCATTGAACCTGCAGCAATCCCTTGCACTGAGCATGCACACACCGACAGCTGAGAGGAAAAGCCCCTTCACCACACTACGCACACACACTGTATAAAAAAAAAAAGACTACAGAAAAAGGAATTTCTTTTTTTTTTTTTTACTATCTGTGCATATTTTTTCCTGTTTAGATTTTCCTGTGCGGTAACTGTTTAAATATGCCAACATCAACTGCGAATTAAGAAACAATAACTAGAACCCAACTTTCTTACTGTTATTTGAAAGAAACCTGAACAAATAGTCTCAATTGAGGAGCTTGGTTTGTGTGAACAATAATTTTTGGTTCTGTTTGGGTAATTCATAAAGTTTAAATTTGATAAATTATTTTCAAGACATCTCTCCTCACTATAAGCAAACATGCAGCCAACCTTTGCTTTCTATTTATTTATTTTATACACTTATCAGTAAATTTTCATTCTAAAATCAACTCTTAAAACAAACATAAAATTACTTTCTTTTTTTTTCCGACAAGCTTGACAAAAAGTGCAAAAACATTAAATATGCTTTAGATCTCCTCTCTCTTTACTCACATAAGATCCATTAATAGAGGAGCTGTTTGCTTTTCACTGCAGCGTTTCTGGTTTTCCTGACAGAGGGAAATTTTTACTTGCTGAATAAATGAATAAATGAGTGTGGTAATTAAAAGCAAACTGACCCAGTTCCCCACCTTCCCTTTTCAAAAAACTGCAGTTGAGGTTAGCAGCAATACCATGACTTGTTTCTTGTTTCCTGGTTTTTCTTTAAAATCAAATTTAGCTTACAGAGGATTTGTCAGAGGACACAATTCTGCGTTACACTGGGACACATATTCAGATATCCAGTAGCCAGCTGTGTGTGTGCATGGTTGTCTGCCTCGGCTGCTTTATAAATACAGTATATTACAAAAAAAAAAAAGCAAATCCACAAAAGTGGAAGCTGTTGAGGGAGATATCACAGCAACGGCTCAATATTGCAGGGAAGAAGAGGACAGATAGGAAAAGGAGTGTACCGGTGGGTTTGATAGCAGCTCACAGAGGCAGAATTTAAATGGATTTTAAGCCGGCTGCTTGAACTCTAAGGCTACTGATGTTTTGCTATCTCTACAGTCCCCTGTCATTCATTGTTTCCCTTGTGATATAGCCGAAAAGGTCAGTTTTCTGCGATGTGGTTTTAGGGGAAAACTCAAAAATGTTCTAATCTGTTTGCAACAACTTTGGCCTTTATACTTTCAGTTGAAACCAGCCTGTAATAATAAATCTTTTTAATGTTTCTTTGTTTTTGTGCGTGTTTAAGTGAACATTGTTATGTGAGCGCCTATGTCTGCGTAGGGCATCAGATTTCAGCTGTGTATGGGTTCCATACTGAGTGAAAGCAAGTGTGCGGTGGACTTCATGTATTCATGTGTGTTGGGAGTGTTTGCGTTTCTGCGCCAGTGTATGAGAGGGGCTTTGTGTGCACACCAAGAAGCATGAGAGCTGTCTGCCAATTATGTATATTGAGTTTCTCTCCTGCTCACTTTACCTAAGTGCTCCAATTTGGCAGATGCACATAAACAGATGATCTATTGAGGAGAGACAGAGCTAAACAAGGTAAAAGGGGTGGATTGGGAAGACACTGTAGACAAAGGGGGGTTTTCTCAGTGAATATTGGAAATGAACGGGAAAAAAAGCCATGGGTTTACAGGCCTTATTGAGGTTGTCTGTTTGTTTATATTCCCAGTAAGACCAGGGATTAGTCTCCAATGTTCAGACTTTGAATTTCCTCATATTTTCTAGTGTTTTCAGAGAGAAAATAAATATCAGCTACGCAAATATAAACTCACAGCAAAAATGGGATAAGTTTAACTAAATGTCACTTTTTTTAAGGAATTAAATTCAAAAAAAGGAAAGTGATGTGCCTATTTTTTTATTATAACTTAAAGTAATCTACTTATGCTATGAAACAGCAAGTGTGTGTCAAAGTGTTGAATTTATCTTTATTTTAAAAGACTTAAGTCTCCCTGAAAATGAGAACATCATGGTTGTTTGATGATAGCACACATATTGTTTACATTGCGGCCCATCTAACTAGGGAGTACCAATATGGCGGCACTTCAATCCCTTACTACAAATGGGCATTTAGCAATCCAGTGAATAAATAGAGATCAGTGCATCTATCCCCAGCTCAGCTAACGTTAGCGAGCTCGGCTCAGTCGCAGTATACTCTGGATGGTCATCATCTACTGTACACGAGTGAGCTTCGAGTGTCCAACCCTTTCTTTGTGAGACGTTGCATTATTTGAAAAGTCAGTGGGAAGATGTAGAGAACAGGCAGCGGTTATCTGTGTTCAGGTTATACAACAAAAAGACAGCTGACCCATGACTCCCCATGTGTTCTGGTATTGACCATGAGGTGTCCCCGTTGCACCTTCAACCGTGTCACCTGTTGTCTCACTGTTACTAGTATTTAAAAATGTATACAAAACATAGAAACAAACAACCCTCAGCCTGGGAAAACACAGATTGTAAAGAGATGATTAGGGGAGGCCTGCAATTTAATGGTCTGGACCCAGTATTTTTTATTGTCCAAAATGTGTTTTCTCTTTTAGAACTGAATCACCAAATTAAATGATTGTGTGACTGATATTGCATTTTACTAAAACAGCGGGAAGCCTGGTATTGTACCAACAGCTGTGGGGAAATTCCTCAGAGATATTAACTTTATATAATACGCAAAGAAACCTACAACTCTGAAAGGATCTTTACAGCTGAGAGTGAAATTGAATAAAAATGCCATTAAGCATTCCAACTAGTGAGTTTTAATTTCAATTAAGCAAAGATACAACATGCAGGATGAGCATTTGTCCAATCTGGGACTTGTTCAAAATGGCATCAGCATTGCTTTTAAAAAGAGATAGCTTACCTTGTGCAGGGAGAATGTACGGACACAGAACGTGGCCAGTTCTATTGTGTCCAGCAGGGTGACTTGGGTCATACCATAGGTTTCTGTACCACGACTCGGCCAGTACTGGTCACACTTGATCTGAGAGAGAAAAAAACAAACAAACTGATGAACAGATGCTGATGTATTTTTTTTCCACTCACTTTAATAAAAAGTTTGTCTTTCTAATGATCAACCTCACAGACATAAAGGAAGCAGTGGGAAATAAAATATAGGATCACTTATCTCTCATAAAGCAAGGCTTCCTGTGGATCGAAAAGACCAGGCAGGAATGACAGACAACTGCAAAGATATCTAATACACTCCTGAAAAAAATACTCTGATGTACATAGAAACTGATATGAGAGTCACAACAGTTCATCTGTTCCAAAACTCAAAAAGCATTTCACTAAAGCTGGCATCTTTCCTATGGCTCAGTAAGTATGAGGCGTGTTTGTACAGATCCTGATCAAATTTCTTATTATGACAGAAACCATTAGTTGGATTTTCTTGCCCAGTGGGAGTATTATATACCTAAAACCACTACAGCAGATCTCCAACCTCCATCAGGCCACCTAATAAAGATTCATCCAGTTAAGGGTGCAATGCGTCTACAAACATCTGATGAAATGTGACAGCCAGTGAAGGAGACGTGCTGCTCTCCAGCTTTGGCTCCCATTTCCTGCCGGAGCTGACACTTAAGTTCCACTAGCCGCTAATCCTGATCACGTTTGACAGGGGAGGAATGCGCATGTCGAGAAGGCGGGTAGGTAAACAACTGAAAAGGGGATGGAGGGGAAAGAGAACGAGCGGAGACACCTGAGGTGAGTGAGTTTGATGTTGACACAGGTTTGAGTTGACAGGATAAAACATTGCAGTTGGCTTTTTGACATTTAGCCTACACCTTTGTAAAGCAGGATATTATCAATGTCAATTCAGTAGTAGAACAAGTATGCAGGCCCCTCTTTTTATGAAGGACAAGGAACAATCCAATGTGGGAAAATACTTCATTACAAGAAGCTTTGCATTCAAAATCATAAGTGAAATGACAGAGGGCGTCAGTGGCAAAATGTACTCATTAAAAAGTACTCGACAGGTAACTGGCAGATTTCTGACATTATTATGCATTAGATTGGTGGAATATTACCACTTATGCCTGAATGTGTTGGCAGACTTTATCTATTACAGCTTGTCAAAGTGCCTAAAACATGAAATGGTGTCTATACAGGATTCTATTTTGATGTGTAATGAATCTTTTTCATTTTTTAAGAAAAAAATCTGTAGTATTATGGTACTGGACAGAAAAAAAATAATAAAAAATTACTATGATGCATCTAACACATCCCAAATGTCTCTCTCTGGCATAATTTTCTTCAACTTCCACCGTAAACAGATGGTTGTGGGAGGTTCCAGTCCCACATTTTGCAAAGATGTGAGCAAAAATTCTGACTTTAGAATGGGATTTTAAAGCTGGAGTACAACAACTTACTAAGCATTAACCCCAACAGGTAAAATAAACCAGCTTTCAGCATCTGCTACATAGTACATAGTAATAATCTGCAAAAAAAAAACTCACAGTGAAGTTCAAATCCACAGGTGGACTGTGTTACTTTCAAATCTAACTTTGGACTAAAATAATCCAAACTGAAATGTAAATGGAGGACTTAATAATAAATAAAAACAATAATAAAACATTGAAGGCCTTTAGTTGTATTTAGGAGACATATCCCTCTAAAATGAATAATATTTCTCCCAAAGAAAATCTTAAAATAAAATGGGTGCTTTGTGGTGATCATAGAAACCACATTCCACTTTTTTTCTGCCTTCAGTGAGGTTTGGCAGAATTGTATTGCAGTTTGTTTCTTTACCATGCTGTTCTCAGCAAGCAAGATTCTCACACAACTAGGGTCTATTTTAGTTTAAAAAAGAAGTAAAAAAATTAAATAAAATTACAAAATGTCATTTTTTCTGAAATGGAAGCTTCTTTTGTCTTTCACATTCTGAAGATTGTTAAATTCAATTCAATAAAATGTATTTGATTAAAAAAAAAGTGCCTTCTACATAATCTATTTAAACCAAAGACAAAAGGACTGTGGATTTTTGTAAAAACAAACATCAGCTTAAAAATGAGTATAAGAGTAATAAAAACAAGTCAAACAGTTTTAATGATTTAATAGAAAATAATTATAAAATAATAGAAAAATTATCAATTTAAATATTCTTTTATATCTTTATTTTGATTTTAGAGAATTGCGGAGGTTGCTGTGAGACTTAAGCCTTAGAGAGCAGCAGCAAAATGGAGGCTAGATGGACTTACCCGAGACTTCTCTTCTAAACGGGTCATCATCACAACCGTTGCCGTCCTCTGTTCCCATACCATCCTCCAGAAATCCCCAAATGTTTCCGGTAACGGACCCTGGGTGGCGATGTAAGCGTTCTGCTTCCTGTAGCCATCGATGTAGTTGGCATTGATGTAGTCGCTACCAGTTATGCCTAGATGAAATAAGAGACGGCAAAGAGATCAAAAAACCTAAAGTGGTGCCTAATTTCTAAGCTCAATTTACTCCCCTTCCTTTGCTCCTTATTAGCAGTGCTTGTTTTCTGTCATCTGCCACAACTCCCAGTATTCGCATACAGTGACAGCTACCAAGCCAATTAAAACATGTGTGAAAGCATGAAATAACTGACTTGAGAAGGAAAAAACAAAAACAATCAAGATAGGTTTAAAAAAAAAAAATAATCTTTTAAAATACATGAAGCCAGACTCATAACCTCTCGAAATGCTACATGAGAAAAATGTTTTTCAATTTTCATAATTGAAAACCCCATAATTTATATTTTTCCAATATTTGTATAACCTGTGAACTGTTTTATTTTTCTCTGTGGGTTTATTTAGAAATCTTAATCAGATTAAATGCTAAAGAATAAGACCTGATAAGATCCATTTCACCATGCATAATCAATGCAGACACATTATTAGAAAGCCTTCTGCATTGTTTCTGATAAAGATGAGTAATGTTTCAATAATTAAGACTGCATGCTTGTCACATTATGTAAAATCTTGTAAAATTACATGCTACTACCCTGAAAATAACCATAATCTTTTTTGCAGGATCCTTAGAAGTGTTTATTCAATTTGCAAAAGGTTTCAACCAAGACAATATAATCTAGTAAGAGCTTTTCAACACCAACAATAATAAGACCTAAAGCCACCACTATTTATTTAGCTAACTGCTACATTGCTTCGGTTTGCTGAGACTCCAGCATCAGTATCGGGGAGTCACGTCTCTTTTGCTCACGTCTCCACGCTCAAGTAGCAAACAATAAAACACTTGACTGGGCTAATTTAAGAGATGAGACGTGCCGAGGACAAAAACCAGAGGGGAGAGGAGGATAAAAAAGGATAAAAAGAAAGTTAAAAAGAAGGAAAAAGGAAAAAAAATGCAATTAAAAGAGGACACCACGTTGTAAAATGTGACTGTGCAGCCTTGGCTTTAGTCATAGCTAGGCGGACAGAGAATGGAGGCTTGCATGGATTGTTCTGCTGCTGCAACTAATAGCAAAATCACTGCAGTGTAAAATAGAAATTTCAGACTTGATTAATTTATGTATTAATGGATGAGGCATTCTTCTTCTCTCGGTTAATTTTGCTACGCATGCTGTTGCACTGTCAAATTGGCCCGACTACTCCATGATATTGAAATCAAGTCTAAGCAGCTAGCTAAATAAAAGGAAAAAAAAAAGAATCTGGAATTTGGATTTGATGTGAACAATTGGGTGGTTCCCCGGTGATGCAGAGCTAGAAGGCCGTCATCAGTGAAGGGATAGTATTGCTGACAATGGCCCTTAATGGCCATGATTTAGGAGTCAGAGGGAGAGACTCTGACTCTAAGACTGAAAAAAAAAAAAACTATGACCATTTAGGGGAAGTCATGAATAGTCGGTTGATCTGATGAGACGAATTGGATGTTGCAAACACGGTGTTAAGTCTTGGATCCGTTTGAGAGTGAGAAAAGAGTGCCTTTCAAAGTGATGAGGCGAAACAAGTCTTTGTAATTTGCTTACATGAAACGCTTAACTGCAACAGAGCAAAACGAGCTAAACTAAGTCTTGAGTTTAGAGTTGGTTCCAATTATGTCTTGAACACATTAACACAATCTTATCACACTTTATTTTTGTTCCTCTACGAGCTACATTAATAAAACTATATAATAAATGTGTTCTTTAATACTATTTTATTAGACAATGACTGCATCTGGCATCTGATTTGTAACTGATTCAACAGATTCAGCCTGAAGGCTACATTTTTCATATTGAAGCAATTAATTTTTCAAAAATCCATTTGTTGTTGTTATGCATCCTGTTATTTTATTTATGACTTTGTCGATCACAAGTCTGTTAAAAATCAATCAATCAATCAATTTACCAACCAATCAATCAATTCAATACATTTTGTTAATATGGCTCCAGTTCATAATACAATCATAAAAAGTTACAAAAGTTTATTAGATTCTATGTGAAATAAATATTATAGTTTTAAGAATTTCTAAACTAAACGCAAACAACTTTACAGAAAAGAACACATACGATTAGGACCACTTAGTTATTGCTCATACTTCATACTAATCTTCTGCAATCTGATCTGCAGAGATTTTGGAGTAATGCATTAGTACATTAGCTGATCTAAAAAAACGGCTGGTATTCTTTGAAAAATACTTTCTTTTTTGAGTTTTTATGACACTAGTGGCGCAGTTTTATGGACAGTAGGCTCACAGGAAGGGGCGTATAAAAGGGGGGAGAGACATGCGGGAAAGGACCACAGGCCGCATTCGAACCTGCATCGCCCGCGTTAAGGACTAAGGCCTCCATACATGGGCTGTGCACACTAACCAAATCGCACCCTATTTAATGTCACGGTGTTGAACGATACCAACTATATTTCAATTCCTCTGCACTTACAGGGGGAATTGACAAAAACATTCTTGATTTTAGGCGACCTCTAAAGCCAAGTTCTTTCACATAATTTTTTTGCAGGTAGCGAACAAACTGGGGCAGAATGTAAACAACGGGAATGTTGGGTTATTTTGGCAAAATATATATATTTTGACTATCTGTCATCTAATTTTGGGGAGAAATGTTAAATAATAAGTGCTATAATACTATAATAATAAGTATATAAGTGCTCCTCTAAAACGATGGTGAATCAAGGGTGTGCAGGCAAGCATTACCTTCAATAGGAGCCAAGATGACTCGGGAGTGGTCGTAGGCGATGACGTTGGCGTAACGATTTTTGGGCTTGTTCACCTCCAGATTGGAATGCTCCCAGGTGAACTGCTGGCCTGGATCAATAGACTGATAGGAGGCAGACATAGCCGAAACATGGAGACATAAAAAAAGTAATCAGAGAAGCTGTGAGAGGCTCTGAGTTATAACAATACAGCTGCGGTGCTGCAAAGAAGAAAGAGACATTGAGGAGGCTCTTCACTTAAAGAAAAACACCCTGCTATGAGGAACATCTGCTTTCTGACTACCTGGAATACAGCAGCTGCTAAAGTGCTATGTGTATAGTGAGAAACAACTGTATAGATCAGAAAAAAGCCAGACAATATTTGAAATACCAAATCAGTAAAGGTGTGTGAATTGCACAAAATCACAAAAAATATTTATGATTCTTTTCAGAAATATAAAGATGTCATCAAAATGTTTTTGTTAGTATCTGCTGGTTTGGAAGGTTTTGTGTAGAGATGGAGGCTTGAATCATAATTGCAGTATTCGGTTGTAGTTTTTACACAACACATTTACCACAAAAATATATTTCTTGGCAAGCATGTTTTAGTCCATTTGGTGACAATATGTGATTTCATGTGATGAAACTTGTTGGTATATAAATTCTATTAGGTGCCACATTATCTATACTGGATTTGACTATTAGTCACTAATGACATTAAAGCCAGCATCTAATTTGTGGTTTTCTTTAAGCAGTGTCAACATTTGGAGGAAATATGAATTGCATTGATACATCTAAGCTAAAATTTAACACATGTTGAGATATTTATTTTCAGGCATTAGTCAGGAATAATTGTCGCATGCCCCTCTCTCTGCTTCCTCAATCAAAAAGGATGGCTCAAACTAGCTATCTTATTCTCTAAACAGAGTAAGTTAACAACAGTTCACTCTCTGATATAAAACTTCTAACACGTCCAGAGTTGCTCTTTTTAAGGCAACATCTGTTGTTGCTTCCCTGATTTATTTCTAGGGATTCCCCCATTCTCAGTGTCCTTCTCAGGTAGTGTGAATATAACTTCTCCTCACTTTGACTGCTTTAAAGGAATAGTACACCCAAAACATGATTAGCCTTCATTTTCTACTCACCCCCATGCTGAACAACACTCTGGAGTACTTTTTTGATATCTCAAATGCATCTGGAGATCTGGGAGGCTTCTTGCTGTCTGCTGACATTCAAATAATGGAGGTCTATGGTGACCGAGGCAGAAAGGTCCATAAAAGTCCACAAAAAACGTGTCAATATTCCTCCATACTGCTCGTCCAATGTATTCCAAGTGTCCTGAGTGGGTAGCATCCAGAATTTACTCGAAACGAAGTCATTTAGAATGTTTTTAGAGCATAAACAGTAGTGTATAGGATTTCCTGAAAGCGCGCACATGCGCGCTCACGACGCTACGGAAGCCGGCAGACCAAACCAGCGCATTCAGCTCGGCAAAGAACTCATGCTCTTCCTCAACACTGAAGTCCTCAGACATTTTTCTTTCGTTGTTTCTTTCTTTGCACAGGTAAACAGCACATTTTTTCTTCTACGCTTGCATTATTGGCAGAGCAGACGCTGAATGCGCACTTTCATCTGGTGTGGTCTGCCGGCTTCCGTAGCGTCGTGAGCGCGCATGTGCGCGCTTTCAGGAAATCCTATACACTACTGTTTATGCTCTAAAAACATTCTAAATGACTTCGTTTCGAGTAAATTCTGGATGCTACCCACTCAGGACACTTGGAATACATTGGACGAGCAGTATGGAGGAATATTGACATGTTTTTTGTGGACTTTTATGGACCTTTCTGCCTCGGTCACCATAAACCTCCATTATTTGAATGTCAGCAGACAGCAAGAAGCCTCCCAGATCTCCAGATGCATTTGAGATATCAAAAAAGTACTCCAGAGTGTTGTTCAGCATGGGGGTGAGTAGAAAATGAAGGCTAATCATGTTTTGGGTGTACTATTCCTTTAAGTTAAACACATACATGATGTTAATATTTAAACTGACCATAATTCAAGCTTAAAAAATTACATAACCTTGTTATATGCAAAGAAGGACTCTCCAATTGAATCATTTCATTACATACATTAACTTGTTATAATTACCTCAGAGTAATTTTATCTATTTTAACACATAATCATTAAATAACTTTTAAGTGTTTTGTTTTCTCTGCAAAAAGGCAAGAGAAAAGAATTAATAAACAGAGTAAAAGAGCTTATCTCTTACCCCTTCAAAAAACTTTGAACGAAGTTAACCTCAACAAAAATCAATGTTGTGATTTCTATTCTATACTTTTATTATTACTTTTGAAATGTTTTATTGATTTTACAGAGAGCAGATAACTTTATGTATTTAATGGGAGAGCAAAAACATAAAACATAGAATCAATTTTTTTACAAGCACAAGAGGGATTCTTAATGTTCCAAATAATACTGCTGATTTTTTTTTTTTTTTTAGAAATCTAAGGAATGTACAACTCTGTGCAACTATTATGGAAATTATGTATTTTTATTGAACTATTCATGACTTTCATCATCTTTTGTTATCTCACAAGAATTTTCTTTTCTACTTATTCTATTTTTTATACAACCTGCAATGTTTCTATCCTTTGCATAATATCTTCAATTTACACGATTTTCCTGACAATTTCAAGCTTATCTCTTTGAATAAATCTGATGTCCCATATTATGCTAGATTGAAAATAAAAACATTAACAATGAGGCCCTCAGAGCATGGTTTTGGCGTTTGTGCAGTAAAATTAATCTCAGATGAAGCAGGCAGCCTTTACCAAAAATCTCCTTATTCCCTCTTCTAAATTAGCTGTTTTGGCTTTCCACGCCCCGATCCTCCCAAAGGCCACACCTCCACAACCCACAACCATGACAACCAGTCAGAGTTTGCAAAGATAGCGGTTAGGAGTGTGGAATAATCCATTAAATAAAGGCCGGAGCTTGAGCAATGGACTGCTACGGGCCGCACTGGACAGTGTATTTCCCCTTATGACATCATCAGGGGAATGCTATTGCAAAAGAGCATTATGAGCAAAAATTAGATAAGAACTAGAGAGAAGCAGTAAAAGAGGTGAAAGGGATTTCTTTCATTTGTGAACCTCATATACAGGCTTGATGAGACATATGCCTGTTGCAAAAGTTTATAACACATAATATGGGACCTTTACAGAGTCAAGTAAACAAATTATGTACATGCGCAGAAGTGCCAGAAATGGATTAAATTAAATCAGTCTACTAATTCTGGCAATAAAACTAGAATTTCTCTGCCTTCTTCATAATTTGTTATGAAGTGCCTATAAATGAACAGCAGTCCCTGCCAAGAAGAAAAGTCTTGCTTTGCATACTGTAGCTTCTGAGAGTATCCTAAGCATCTTCAGGTGAAAGCATTGTTGTCTTTTCATCGCTGCTCCTGCTTCAGATGATCTCCTCCTTATCTCTACTCCCCCACTGTGATGCTTTGCTCTGCCTCCTCGCAGTGAATCTTTATCATTAACCAAACCTTTCCACCTCATTTCTCTCTCTCTCTTTTTTTTCTGCTTCATCCCCCTTTCTCTTACATACTGCCTGGCTAAAAACCAATCAGTCAAAGCCCCTACAGAGCTGTGCTTGGCAAGCTGGGGTGCCAGGAAGAACAGCCATTCATCAAGAAAATAACTAAATTAAAATTACACTTCTCTATTTAATTTGGTCATTTATTTTTCCTGAGGTGGGGGGGGTGTTTGAGGACGGGAAGGCAGACAGTGAGAGAGGGGAATAAGGACAGAGATGAGCTAGTGTCTGGAGGCTGTCTCTCAAAGCATGGTAATTAGAACTTCTAGCATCGACTCTACCACTTTTTTCTTTTCGTTTTTTTCCTCACCAATGAAAGAAGCAAACTCATCCCGTTTGGTATACAGTCCAAATGCTGGGCTCTTGAATAATAGATACCCAAGAAATGCTGGACTGCTATGAGAAGTCATTATCCACCAACATCCACCAGCAGGCATGATGACGACAATCTATGCCTCCGTACCGGCTTTATACTTTAAGCTGGCGGGCAACAAGGCGTCAGGCTCTGTGATTTAGGGATGGTGAGCAGAGAATATTGCTTGTATGCAAACGAGAGCTGATTCAGCGCTCCTGATTTCTAATCAACTCTGGTGTCATTTATAACCGTGGCCGACTCAGAGCTCAGACAGCTCAGTTATACACTCTGTACACACACTACACACAGACACAGGCCTTCAGAAACGAACCAAGGCTGGCTGACTGTGCAGAGCTCTGGGTAGGAATATAGACTAAATCTCTATTGTAGAAGAAAGCAAATCTTTAGTCCAAATTCATTGGCGTGTATAAAACATGTCAATATTAGTGCTGTGGGTGAATAAAAATATTTATTTTTCCATTTCCATAATGTATTCTAGTAGAACTAATGATTCTATTCAGTAAAGAATTGGAGTTTGGCAGCTAAAAAATGCTTCAACAAGCTAACGCAGACTTAAATGATTGATCTCAATAATTATCCTGCTGAAATATGAAAAAAAAAACAGACAGGGAAAAAATATGCACCACTGATTGCTTTAGGAATCTCAAGTGCCAGCTGGCGGAATTTAGTTGTCCAGCAAAACTAAGACATCTACAAAAGAAACCTTGTTTTTTACATCGCAACAAAAACAACTCTTTTGTCCAGTTCCAGTGAAAACACAATCAGACAGGAATCAATACTCCAGGAAATTTGAACCTCAGGCCGCGCTCACCTCATATTCCTGGGAGAGCTTGAGGTTGTCATTAGCTTTGAGAAGTTCGGTGTGCTCGGCCAGCTCAGAGATGGGGATCGGAGGATGATTCATCATACCTGTTCGCCAAGAAAATAGACACAGGAATTCCATGTGGGAGAGGAAAAAAAAAAAAAAAGGTCCATTAGTAAAGAAGACAGGCTGAAGGTTCAAAAGTTTGAAAACGCAAGCTTTAATAGGTGAGAATATATTGCCTGTGCAACAATGATGGACTTGCTTTTAGTGATGGGGAAGCTTGACAAAGGCAGTGAACCAATAAATAAATAAATAGTGATGTAATAGTTACCAGGCCAGAGCTCAAAGATAGTCGTTTTTCAATTGACGCTGAACGATTTTTTTCTTACCGAAAGGATGTAGCAACAGAAAGCTATAAAGCAAATGGGATTTCTTCATTATTCAAGAAGCTGATGGATGTTGGAGCCAAACGAGAGTTGCTGGCCTCAACAATCAATGGCATTACCAATTCAACTAGCCTAGGGCATTAGATTTAATGCCACAAGATTAAAAATACATGTATATTTGTGGAAAGATCAAAATTTAAATAAATGTTGAGTCCTATTTTATTTTCTTAATAAAAAGAAGTACTTTGCACTACGCCTGTAGAGAAATGAAATGGGTAACATGTTCAATATTCTTCAAACAAACAAGAAGAGTAATTTAAACAGTTATTTTAATCAGTAATTTTAATCAGGAAAGAATAAATATCAATGTCTTTTGTTTTTAGGCCCCAATAAAATAATTAGCACCTTGTGTACTTCCCTCTATGCCAGCAATTTACTTCTTTACAGTCATACTTGTGACATTTGACAGAGTCTAACTGGCAGTCTTCTCTCCAAAAGGCTGTTTTTTTTTGCTTTTACAGTAACTAAACAATTCACTTCAATCTATTTATATAGCACCAATTAACAACACGTCATATCAAGGCACTTTACAATTCAACCAGATCATACAGTCAAATTGATACAAAGTTGTCTATCTAAGGAAAACTAGTTGATTGCATCGACTCATTGTCTCCAAGGCCATCCCTCACACCAAGCATAGTTGTAGTGACAGTGGAGAGGAACAACTCCCTTTTAACAGGAAGAAGCCTCCAACTGAACCAGACTCGGTGTGAGCGGCCATCTGCCGAGGCCGACTGGGGTTCAAGGAGACAGATGCAGAGATACAGAAAAAAGCAGAGATACAAAAGGCAACTGTCAACCTGGATAATTTTTTTTCTTTTTCTGTATATATTTCGAGTGTATAGAAGCAAAAAGTATTCCTTTTTAATAAAACTGTGAAAGCACCTTTAAAATGTATTTAAACCAATTAGGAAAAAATCATTTAAAGAAAAAAAATATATTTTTGGGGGGATATTTTCTATTACATTTTAATGGATTATATACAACCCAAAACTTCTCCAAGAACATCTGCAATTGGTTCATTGAGCAGTATAGTGAAAAAATAGGGGTATTGTTTGACAATGTGGTTTATCAATACAACAACAATACATAAAGGTAAAATTAAGTACCACAATTATTTAATTGGAACCTTTTCTTACCCTCAAAATACCATTGTCACTTTATGGTTAGTAGTATCTTTTATATGTTTACTTTTACCAATACCTGAATAGAAAGCTTCAAAATTGTAATCAAGCCCTGACCTGGGGGGTGTTTATGGTGAAGGAGGTGAAGCGGGATCAGGAAGTTAAGGAGTGGGAGTGAAGCTGAATGACACAGTGAGCTGCTCCATTTCAGACTCGAGTAAAACAAGCAAAAAAAAAAAAAAAAAAAAAAGCAAAGAAAAGAAAAATACCCCTTGCTCCATCTTCTCTCAAACCAATGCACAACACTGCCAAGATAAATACCTTGGCCTTGCAGGATAGCAAACATTCTCGGTTGCATTTTCCATCTAGGCTTCCTAAAAATTCAAATGTGATCTCTCCAAAGAGCAATCCTTCTACAAACATAAGGAAATTATCATGTTTGTCAGTGCAATTTTTTTTTTTTTGCCATGTTGCTCCTATCATCAGAGCTGCTGCACAGACCGGTTACCAATCTGCTTAAAAGCATAAAGCTGAGGTCATGTTATAAAGTATGGGGAAAAAAAGCACACTGTGTAGCTCTGTCTTTGCATGTTTCCTGGAAACACTTATCATTTTTGTATTTCTAATAAGAGGTCTCTTATTCTGCTGAACATTGAGGTCAAAAGTCAACAACATCATGAAATCTCTGTGCAGAAAAGTTAGTCAGGGTTAATTGGGCATGTAAATTGGCATAATCACATTAAGCAGCCTTAATTTTCCCTTTCAAAGAGTTCCCCAATGTCACAGAGGTCGCTCATGTTTTGGTTGCTTTTGTTGTGCTTAAGAAGGGGCTCGACTCTCTTCACTGACAGTTTTCATTAGTAACGGCACTTTGATTTACATTGAGAGAACAATGAGGCAATAAATTACATGAGGATTACCACGCATATGTGAAACAAACGGGCATGACACTCAAATGAATGTAGTGGCATCCTACCTACATTGAGACTATTGTAGATGAGAACCAAGGCACACATGCCCAGAAGACGAAATGTTTTTTATTTATTTTATTTTTCTTTCAATAAAACGAGAGAAGGAAACAAAAGAGGTTTTTTAAAAATGTTTAAATTAAAAAAATACATATTTCAAAAAATTATGTATTACTAGTGAAAAATTAAGATATGCATCAAGAAAAGAGCTAATTTTACTTCCTGCATATTAGTTAGCCAGTTTACTGACAGGAGGTAAACTGCAAGAGAAATAAGTAGACGTAAATGCAAATGAAGAGGCCCTATTTCTCCATGAGAGAGGAAGGAGATCAAAGAGTGTTGGTGTTGAATTTGTGCATGTGTGGCTCTGTTTACAGAGGTTCCAGATATAATTAAAGTTAGGTTTTACTCTGTTTACTGCTAAAATTACTGCTTGCATACCATTAAACTATGATGCATGGCTACAGGGAGGGGCAAGTAGTATGTTTTAAGACATTTTGTATTTAATGTGGATTTGCTGTGGGAATGAAAAGACCCAGTTAGAGCTAAAATAGACTAAAGGTGTGAAAACTATTATATGTTTTATGTCAAACTAGGGGAGAACTGTGTAAAAAAATGACAGAGACTGTAAAATGGTTAAATTCACCAAAATATCAAATAAGATGCACAACAGATATAAAAGAGTTACAAATCTTTAAACTTTAACTTCAAATGTATCTTCTTCAGCTTTGATTATTGAATGGCATGTCAAATTTTGGTTCTTCTTTTTGGTTTTCTCTCTTATTACAACCACTAAACAGCATACAACTTAAAGCACTTCTTAAGTCTAGACAAATTTGATACGAATTATGATATTTGCTTTGATGAATAAAGAGGACAAGTCTTTTAACTTAATTCCCTAATTTCCTCTGTGAAAGAACATTTATTTTTTCTTTGATGTTATAGTCCCTACACCCCCCAAAAAATCCTCAATTAGCAAAACAAACAAAAAAATCAAAGAAAGCAAATCAGTACAAGGTGCATATCTAAGTTTTTCTTCATTTTTCTTGATAAAAGCTCAAACTAATACCAAATTCAATTCAAATTAACAAAAATCCCATTACATATTAGCTGAATATTTTAAGCCATTTATAAAACAGTATAACAAATTTATATTTACACTTGCTTTTTTAACATACTAAAGCAGAGCCAAGTCACTTGATGACAGAAATATTAAGCTAATATCCTTTAAATTAAGCCTTTCCTGGCCCAGAGTGGCCTGTGTGTTTCACAGCAGTCTAAACACGACCAGTGGAGAAAGAATAAAAACAAACTAGCTCCCAATTACACATTTGCAGATTTGCAGCCAATGTGGCTGAGAAATAAAATGATTCCTTTTGATAAGCCAAGCCAAAGGCCTTTTTATGATGTTGCATATTTCCATATAAAAAGGGAAGAAGTCTGCTGGTAAGCAACGAAAAAAAAAATGGGGGGAAAATGAGAGGAAAGTCTTTCTCTCGGATGATTCTTTTCAGCAAGAGGGGGGTGATCAAATGTCGAGCCATTGTTTGGAACTGCTTTAATTAATTCTACTCGTTATCTCATAGCGCAGAAAAGACCCCGTTTTGGTTGGGAATGGAAATGGAGCAGTGCTGGTAAAGGATGAGGAGGAGCGGGAACAACAAGGAGTTGTGAAAGACAAAGAGGAATTACACAGATTGTGTTCTTTTTTACAAAAAACAAATCTTTAAAGCATCTATATATTAGCAGAAGAGATTGCACAGGTTATATATGCATTGTGGATTAATGCATTGCCATTGGCCATCATGGATCGTGTCACTGGCATCCGATTAAAGAATAATCTCAGTGTAGTGATAGAAAACAAAATAATTATTGGCTGAGATTTGTGGTATTGTGGAAAGAAAATGTGCTTTATTTTTTTTTAAAGAGAAGCAAATCTAGAAAAGCAGCACAGAAAAAAAGGTCAAACATATATTTAAAAGAAGCTGGCACAGAAAACTAACTTTCATAGACAAAACCTGCTTCACTCTGAGGACGGCTTAGACCAGAATCTGAAAAGGACAATAAACATAGGAGACAGTGTGTTCAAGGAGCTATACTGCAACACAAGATGCAAAATGAAAACAAAAAAACATGTAAAGCAATGCACAAAAGTAATGTAGCAGTTTTTGTTCTTCGAGCAAACAGTCTAAGCTAAGTTAGCTCATTTCTTCAGGATATTTTGCATTATGGGTTATAAACATTTGAACAATAGAATAAAATAAGGCTTCTAATACTACTAGGAGCTAACAAAGAACCTTACAGAAGTATAGCCCCATTTTACACATCCCTTTTGAAACCATGCCGAGAACGGTTCCAGCAAGGTAACCAAGATAACTGTTAAGTGTAAATGGAACGCAACTGAACTGGACCGTGCCAGACGCAACCAAAGCACGCTAAATCTAGTACTAGTTCAACAGTAATGCCCGGCACGGTTCACTTGTGGCTCGGGTTCTCTGATAACAAAGACCGCTTGAAAAGACTGACTCATTTTGCAGGTTTTCTGACATGTCCGGCTTTGCAATTC